GGTGCTGAGAAGAAGGTATATTCTTTTGTGTTAGGATGGAATGTTCTGTAGATATCTATTAAGTCCATTTGAGTCATAACATCTGTTAGGTCCTTTATTTCTTTGTTAAGTATCAGTCTGGTAGATCTGTCTTTTGGTGAGAGTGGTGTGTTGAAATCTCCCACTACTAGTGTGTGGGGTTTGATGTTCGATTTAAGCTTTAGTAATGTTTCTTTTATGAATGTGGGTGCCTTTGTATTTGGTGCATAAATATTCAGAATTGAGAGTTCATCTTGGTGGATTTTTTATGATAAATATATAATATCCATCCTGACCTCTTTTGATTGATTTTAGTTTGAAGTCTATTTTATTAGATATTAAGATAGCTACACCAGCTTGCTTCTTAGGTCCATTTGATTGGAAAGCCTTTTCCCAGCCCTTTACTCTGAGGTAGTGTCTGTCTGTGAAGTTAAGGTGTGTTTCTTGTATGAAGCAGAAGGATGAATCCTGTTTTCTTATCCATTCTGTTAGTCTGTGTCTTTTTATAGGTGAGTTGAGACCATTAATATTGATGGATATTAATGACCAGTGATTGTTAATTCCTGGGTTTTGTTTGTTTGTTTTGTTTTGGGTTGTTGTTTTTTTTTTGTTTTTTTTGTTTTTGTTTTTGTTCTTGTTTTTGGTGGTAGTGTTGCATTTTCCTTCTTTGGTATTTGTTGGTGTAGGATTATCTATTGCTTGAGTTTTCATGGGTGTGTTTAGCTTAGGTTGGGTTTTTCCTTCTAATGCTTTCTGTAGGCCGGAAATTTGGATAGGTATTGTTTAAATCTGGTTTTATCATGGAATATTTTCTTTACTCTGTCTATGGTGATTGAGAGTTTTGCTGGGTATACTAGTCTGGGTTGGCATCCGTGGTCTCTTAGTGTCTGCATAACATTTGTCCATGATCTTCTAGCTTTCATAGTCTCTGTTGAATAGTCTGGTGTTATTCTGATGGGTCTGCCTTTATATGTTACTTGGTCTTTTTCCTTTGCGGCTCTTAATACTTTTTATTTGTTCTATATGTTTAGTGTTTTGTTTATTATGTGGCGAGGGGACTTTTTTTTGGATCCAGCCTATTCGGTGTTCTGTAGGCTTCTTGTATCTTCATAGGTATTTCTTTCTTTAGGTTAGGAAAGTTTTCTTCTATGATTTTGTTGAATATATTTTCTGTGCCTTTGAGTTGGTATTCTTCTCCTTCTTCTATCCCTATTATTCTTTAGTCTTTTCATGGTGTCCCAAATTTCTTGGACATTTTGTGTTACAACTTTTTTGTCTTTAATGGTTTCTTTGACTGACGAATCTATTTTCTCTATTGTGTCTTCAGTGTCAGAGATTCTCTGTACCAGCTCTTGCAATCGGTTAGTTATGCTTGCTTCTGTAGTTCCTGTTCATTTAGTCAGGATTTCTGTTTCCAGCATTTCCTCAGTTTGTGTTTTCTTTATTGTCTCAATTTCAATTTTCAAATCTTGAATTATTTCCTTCATCTGCTTAATTACTTTTTCTTGGCTTTGTTTGATTTCTTCCAATTTTTTGTTTGTTTTCTTCTTCCATTTCTTTAAGGGAATTTTTTATTTCCTCTTTAATGGAGTTTTTCATTTCCTCTTTAAGGGTCTCTATCATCTTCTTAAAGTCATTCTTAGGATTGATTTCTTCTGCTTCTTCTGCCTTGGTATGTTCAGGTCTTGCAGGTGTAGAATCGCTAGGTTCTGATGGTGTCATATAGGTCTTTACATTGTTCCCTGTATTTTTGCACTGGTGTCTACTCATCTCTTCCTCCGCTTGGTGTAGGCAGTGTCTATGTCTGAAGGTGCCTCTCTTGTTCTAATTGTTAGTCTTGGTCCACTAGGAGTTCTTGGTTAAATCAGTGCTGTTGGGCTCTGTTTCTTCGGGTCCAATCAGTGTTAGTGGGTTCTGTCTCAGGGAGCAGTTGTTCTCAGTTGGTACAGGGTGTGCTTATGGCTCCAGTGGTTGTTAGGTTTGTAGGGGTTGGCTTTTTTTGTTTTTTGGTTTTTTTGTTTGTTTGTTTTTTGTGGGGTAGCAGGGAAAGGTAGCTGTCTGGTCCCTGGGATTCCGATGGGTAGGGCCTAGGGGCTAGAGACCTGATCTGCCGGTCGGGAGATGGGGGCTTACCTGTTCCCAGTCCGTGTAGTAGGCTTATGATTCTGGTGATCTGGTTTGGTGGCTGGGCGGCGCCTTCTTTTGTGTTCTCAGGTCACGTTTTGCTCATTCGTCAACTCCTCAGCTGATCTTGTTTCCTCAGACTGTGGACTGTAGGGATCTGAATCCACTCCCGAATGGATCTCAGCTGAGCGGGTTGTTCAGTAGGGCAATCTCACCAACACCTCCAAGTTGTTGGGTTTCGCAGGTGGGCAGCTGGCTCTGGGTTGGCCTCAGACAGTGTGTTCAGATCCGTTCTGGTCATGTCCCACGGAGATGGCTCCTTCCCCAGGTGCTGGGATTAAAGGCGTCCTTGTTCCAAGCTCTAAATCTCCTTGTTTTCACTAACTCCTCCTGGAAATTTATTCTTAATCCTAGTAACTATGAGTCCCCTTTCCACACACCCAGCATTTACTCGCAATGGTCACATGCTGGATGAAGTTAATGGGGGACTTACATAGAGATGTTTACCCCAGGGCTTGATAACTCAGGGTGCTGTGCCTGGCAGCGCCAGGGCTCCGTAGCCAACAGCCTGCACAGATGCTCTGAGAGGCTACACCCAATTTGGAAGGACAGCCAGATGACACACACCAGCATTCAGCTGCAGACGTAGCCTCTGTCTGCCTCTGAAAGAGTTTATACACCAGCTGAAAGATCAAAAAACAATTTTAGGTTTTTGTTTTTTTTTTCGAGACAGGGTTTCTCTGTGTAGTTTTGGTGCCTGTCCTGGCCTCGAACTCACAGAGATCCGCTTGGCTCTGCCTCCCCAGTGCTGGGATTAAAGGCATGTGTCACTGTCGCCTGGTGAAAGATCAGTCTTTTGACAAAGTAACTGTAGTGTACGTTGTTTCTCTTCAGGAAACGTAAGACTGACCAGCTTAGCCTGTGGAAATCAGCATATCTGGGCCTGTGACTCCAAGGGTGGAGTTTACTTCCGAGTTGGAACCCAGCCTCTGAATCCCAGTCTGATGCTCCCGGCCTGGATCATGATTGAGCCACCTGTCCAGGTAAGCAAAGCTAACTGGACAGAACTTGCTTCGTAGTAAGAGGGAAGCTGTGAGGCTGCCTCCCCAGGGCGCATGGAGAGGCGCCCTGTCAGTACTCTAGAGCCAAGCAGGTTATTTGAGATTATCTGAGCCAGCACAAGGTTTCTCCCTTTTAAAATACAAATATGTGCTGGTCGGTAGTGGCCCACGCCTTTAATCCCAGCACTGGGAGGCAGAGCCAGGTGGATCTCTGTGAGTTCAAGGCCAGCCTGGTCTATAGAGCAAGATCCAGAACAGGCAGAAAACGACACAGAGAAACCCTGTCTCTAAAAACCAAAAAAAAAAAAAAAAAAAAATTGACTTGTCACCAAATGAAAATTATCTTTTTTAAAAAAAACTAAACACTATTCAAAAATACAAAGAAGAAAGTAAAATTTGCATAAAGTGTTGCCATGGAGATATCTGTTCTCAGTGGGTTTTGTTGTTTTTCCTGGCAATACTGAAGACTGAACCTCGGGCCTCACAAATGCCAAGCAGGTACTCTATACTGAGCCGCAGCCGTGGTCCTGTTATTAGTGTTCTGTGAGTGCCTTTCCTAGCCTGAACATCTTTTGTTCCCGGGTTAGTGGAGCATTTGCTTATGCTATGCTATGCCTGTGCACACACGTGGGGATTCAATTCCAGCACTGCATATCCCAAAATCTACTTCCTGGCTCCTGTGGAATTTCAGTTTATACTGTGCTCTGACATGGATTTTTGTTAGTTGCTCCCAAAGACCTAAATAGGCTTGGTTCATGTACTAAGTATTTCTCTTAAACTATATGAAGAGAGATAGCTCAGTGGTTAAGAGCACTGGCTGCTCTGTTGGAGGACCAGGGCTTAATTCCCAGCATCCACATGGTGACTTGCTAACCATCCTTATCTCCAGTTTAAGGGGATCCAATGTCCTTTTCTGGCCTCCTTGGGCAGCAGGCACACATGGGTTACACAGACATACATGCAAACAAACACCTTATACACATAAAAACACGTAATTAAACAAACAAACATAGGCCGGGCAGTGGTGGCGCACACCTTTAATCCTAGCACTCAGGATGCAGAAGCAGGTGGATCTCTGTGAGTTTGAGTCCACTGTGGTCTACAGAGTGAGGGCCATGAAATCTCCAGAGTTATTTCCTCAGACTCCTGCTCATCCCTGCTTTGTGACTTTGTTGGAAAAGATATGAAGTTTCCTCATATAAAGGACCAGGGGCAAGGCAGCTGTCCTTATGGAGGCAGGAAAGAATCTAGAGTGGTCGAGGTTGCCTGCATCCTGGGGGTCCTGCAGCCCTCAGGTTAAACAGGATGCCCTGAGCACTTGCCCCGGGTGCAGCAGCAATGGCTGCAGGACTGTGGGTTGGTTGGCGCAGACCTGATGGGGAGGGACACTCCCTGCTGCACTTGCTTGTCACCTGAGTGCAGGCAGTCAGCTTCATTGTTCTTGACATCCCAGCCTGCATCCAGGTGCACTCCTTTCCACATCCTTGTCAACACATTCCTTTTTTCTTTCTCTTACTAAGGACTTTATATTATCTAAAGTTATTATTCAGCCAGGCCTGATAGTACAGGCTTGTAATCCTAGCTACTTGGGAGACTGAGGCAGGAGGATCTCAAATTCAAGAATTTTGCCTTGGCCACAGAGTGAGAGGGTCACTGGGGACAACTTGAATAAGATCCAGTCTCAAAAACCAAAAGGCCAGGCTTACTAATCCTAGCACTTGGGGAGGTAGGCGTAAAAGAGTTGGAGGTCATCCTCAGATACTACATATGAGTTCAAGGCCAGCCTGGCTAAATGGGGCTTTGTATCAAAGAATCAAGAAGGAAAAAAGAGATGCTAGGTGTGTTAGTGCACGCTTTTAATCCCAGCACTCAGGAGGTAGAGACAGGTGGATCTCTATAATTGCCAGGCTAGCAATTATTTAGTTCCAGGACAGCCAGGTCTACATGTAGCTTGTCTCAATAAAAAATAAAGGAAAAGAGAAGTTAAAATCCACAAACCATAAAACTTACTCTTTCTGGTATACTGTATAGGATACCGAACAATGATTTTTAATACTTCACGAAGTTGTGCATCACCACTGCCCAATCCTAGAACATTTTCAACATCCTGAGAGCAGACCCTGTTCCCCCTCAGAACCCTCGGCCCCTCAGCCTATCACTGCCACTGGTCACTCCTATCTCCCTAGTCTGTACTTGCATAGAAGTGGAATCCCGATAAGTAGATAGCCGCCTTCGTGTGTGTGTGTGTGTGTGTGTGTGTGTGTGTGTGTGTGTGTGTGTGTTTATTTTTGGTTTTGTTTTTCTTTTTTGATACAGGGTCTCTCCATGTAGCCCTGGCTGTCCTGGAACTTGTTTTGAAGACCAGGCTGGCCTTAAACTCAGAGATCTGCCTGCCTCTGTCTCCTGAGTGCTGGGATTAAAGGTGTCTGCCACCATGCTCAGCAATATATGGCCTCAGACATCTTTCAGTAGATATCATAAGAGTTCTTTATTTTTTAGCACTCATCATTTCTTCATTCATTTTTTAAATTTTTTTTTTTTTTTTTTTTTTTTTGGTTTTTTCGAGACAGGGTTTCTCTGTATAGCTTTGCGCCTTTCCTGGAGCTCACTTGGTA